TCACCAGTCAGGGTATGCATATGGATCTCGCCTTTAAATAGTGTTCTTGAGTACTTGTCCTGATGACCCAATGTTGATAGGTTGACAGTCTCTCGATGGGTGGGCTTCATGCTGATTTTCTCTGCAAATCTGGTAGTAGCGAATGACCTTGTAGCCCCTTCATCAAATAATACATTGGCATGAATAATGTTCCCATCTTTGGCAGTAACAGGAACCACGGCTGTCTTTAATATGACAGGTCCGGCAGGTTGGCGAAATTGTGAAGTTGAAAGATGAACGCGTGTGTCATTTGCGCGTGTAGTGGTTAATCCATTTGCCGAATGTTCATTGCTCTGTGCTTGCGTTGTGTTTCTGTCGCTGGCTGGAGTGCTCACACACATATTTGAGCTGGTTTGCCGTGCTGGGCGATCATTGAAATGAAGCGAAGAATGGTGTTTCCGTCCGCAATGTTTACAACTAAATTTCGAAGTGCAGTTGCTTACCAAGTGATTTGCAAGGCAGTTGTAGCATAATTTGTCCCTCTTCACTATGTCAAGTCTCTTTTTTGGATCGGTGATTGTTGTGCAATCGCTGGGGTTATGTAAACCTTTGCAAAATAAGCATTGTCTCACTGCATGTCGTTGTTTACGATACCCAGAAGTAGGCGCGTGAGAGTTATTGAGAGTTATTGAGAGTCGTGACATTTGACCCCCAAGAGTCTGACCTTCATTGTTGACATCTGTCAGGCCCGCCTGTAAAGCATGTATTTCGGCAGTAATAGCTTTTCTCAGGTCGACAATATTCCAGGCTTTGTTGCCGTGGATTCTAGCAATTTGTGTGCAAATGTTATTAGGCAACTTACGTAGTATCATGGGAACTAGTAGCTCGCCGTACGTGGATTCATCTTTTCCCAGGGCTTGCAGTCCGCGGATATGGGACTCGAGCGTGTCATTGAAGCGTAGTAAACTCGTAACATCGTCAGTGGCCGACTGCAGCTGCCATAGAGCTTCCATGTGAGCGGAAATAATCATATGTTTCTGTCCGTAACGTTCGTTGAGAAGTGCGAGCGCTTGGGCGTAATTCACTTCTGTGAGCGGTAAACTTGAAATCAAGAGTAGGGCTTCTCCTCGTAATACCCCCTTGAGATATTCAAATCATTGAATGTCTCCAAGTGTTTTATCATCGTGAATTGTAGACCTGTACGTGTCATAGAATGTGATCCATTCCAATACATTGCCCGAAAATGTTGGTAATTCAATTTTCGGCAAATTCACAGTTCTGTGCGTACTAGCTGATGGGTTGCTGCGAGGAGTTGAACCGGCGCTGGAGCCTGTGTTCGGTGCTTGTCTGCGTGGGTCAATGGCGTCGATGCGTCGCTGCCTTCTACGTGATTTCATGGATAGTTCATCAGTATAATCGTAGCTTTCCTCCATTTCTTTTTCGATAGTTGACTCTTCTTCACCCTCGTGATGCATAGTGAGACGTAAGTCCTCGTCGACGGCTTGCAGTTTGGCGCGTCGTTCGTTGATAAGTTCATTCAGATCGGCGATCTCGTTGAAAGCTAACACCTTGTCGTGGTTGTTGTCAAAATCAGAGAGTAGGATTTCCAATCGATTAGTGTTCCTTGTAACCAAACCACATTGTACCTTCCTTGCCGAGCGAAGCGAAGCTACATTTTCGGTTTTGGTTGTAGATTGTGATTGGGCTGAAGTGTTTGAAACAGACGTCATTTTGCAATACTATAAGGGGTGTACCGTACGCGATAGCTGTCACAAAATCCGCAATATATCCTGGTCTTCTCGGCACCAAAATGTGGGGGACGATAAGTTGCGGTTATGGAAATGTAACGAAATATAGTATGCAAAATTATCTGCTACACAATCAGCACCAATCACCACAGAAGAACGACTTAATGAAAACTCAGAATTTATTCACTAACGGAAAACCCGCTGGAAATCCGGAGACTTACAACTCGATATCAACGATATAACACAAATTGTAAGAATGATACAGAATTGGCAGTATGCCCTTGATATACGTCGATAAACTCTTGACCGTGTAAGAAAATTAGTGGGAAAACTTCTAATTGGATGAATATAAAAATTGAAACAAAAGAACATCCTGCGGTGGTTTCTACCACGTTCGCATTCATGTCGTCGTCTCACTTCAGAATCCGTATTTTGCAACAATGTATAAGTCAGAATACAGTATTATTGAACTTGCATAAAACGTAATGAATAAAGCGATTAACAAATATTGCATGTTTCAATTACAATGCTTCCCAGATAAATGATTCAGAAATTACTCCGACATACTTGGCCGCCCACGATGTAATGAGTCAAATTGATACATCATCTATGATTAGAAATTATTGTCCCATATAAAAGTTATAAAAGTGTAATGTTCATAACACATATACAAAGTACACAGTCTGGCTCAGAATGTGATTACAACAGACTTTTGGCAAAATCCTTGATCTTGTCACGTGCTGCTACGACAGCCTTCCTCACGTTGGATGCATCAATTTTCCCAGACCCATATGCATACAAGTTGTGTCATAGTCAGAGGTCAATGGACTCTGTTTGTCTGATCCTAGTTAAATGCTTTGTTTACATTGTTAAATGGATGTAGTGGTATTTGTATCAAGTCAGGTATGTTGTTGTTAACTGCTCCATCAATGTTAGAAATAGGTAGAAGTGTGTTTTCAGTATTTGTAACATTAGAATGCATGTTGTATGTGATTTGTGGCCAATCTGCAGTATTTGCCAGAAACTCAGGACCATTCCACCACTTTCTGCTGGACTTCAGCTCTTTCGTTGATATTCCTCTAGTCAGTAGGTCAGCCGGGTTCTGCTTTGTAGGCACGTATCTGTAACTCTGGTTAAACTCATTTATCTCCTTGGTTCTTATTCGGATGAAAACAGGTTGTGGTTTGTCACTTGCGATCCATGACAGAGCTATCTGACTGTCACTCCATAATGTACACGAATCAATGTTCAGTTTTGGCTTCAAATGATTGTAAACAAATTTGCATAGTCTTGTACCAATCAAGCATGCTAAAAGTTCAAGTCGAGGCAAGGTGATCTCTGTGGTGGGTGATACACGGTTCTTAGAAGCAACTATACCAGTTTCTCCAGTTTCCATACATCGAATATATATCACAGCTCCATATGCAGATGTACTGGCATCAGCAAATGAGTGTAGTTGATAGGTTTGCTTGTTTACATCCATGGAGTTTCCACCAAAATAACTTCTATTTATAGTAATGTCAGTCAGGTGATGCAGTTCACTAGCAATACCTTTCCACTTTAATAGTAAGGTAAGTATCATCAAGAGGTGTATCCCATTCAATTTTGGATCGCCAAATAGATTGAATAAACAATTTTGCCTGAATGTGAACTGGTGACAGCAAACCAATGGGGTCATAAATGCTGGCTGTGGCACTTACAACATCTCTCTTCGTAAGTAATTGATTCAAAGGTGGCATATCTACGTGTTTATATGAAAGTACATCAGTCTCAGTATTCCATCTCATACCAAGTATTCCCACTTCTACATCTTCAGAATGTTTGTTGTCGCTCGTGGCAATCTCTCTTAGTGTGTTGTCATTGGTTGACCAACTTCTCAAATTGAAACCACCTGACGTCATCATTTCATTTGCATGTGTATAGTAATCAATAGCCTCATTGGTGTTGTTAACACCAGAAATGACATCGTCAACATAAATATTGTTTTGTAAATCCCTGGCAATGGCCGAAGTGTTGTAAGTATCCAAATGAGCTCTTACAACAGCATTAAGAATAAAGGGGGAGGGTGTCGCCCCAAAAAGAACAGATTTAAACTGATATGTATCGAACTCACTCTCTGTATCGCCTGAATCTGAGAGCCACAAAAACTTGGTGAATTTCCTCTCCTCAGGTTCTAGTTTCACCTGTAGGAAAGCTTTTTCTATGTCGCTAGTGATAGCAACAGGGTTCGAACGAAATTTAATCAATATGGATGTCAAGTCATTCAACATGGGAGGGCCTTTATCCAGGCAGTCGTTAATGACTGATCGATTGATACAGGGTGAGCCAAGTTTAGATGACGTAAATATGGCAAATCAAGTAAGTCAGGTGTCACATGGTGAGTCAGATTGTTAGATATGTCAGGTATAACAAGAGGTTCTATAGATACAATGTCACCAGTCAGGGTATGCATATGGATCTCACCTTTAAATAGTGTTCTTGAGTACTTGTCCTGATGACCCAATGTTGATAGGTTGACAGTCTCTCGATGGGTGGGCTTCATGCTGATTTTCTCTGCAAATCTGGTAGTAGCGAATGACCTTGTAGCCCCTTCATCAAATAATACATTGGCATGAATAATGTTCCCATCTTTGGCAGTAACAGAAACCACGGCTGTCTTTAATAGGACAGGTCCGGTAGGTTGGCGAAATTGTGAAGTTGAAAGATGAACGCGTGTGTCATTTGCGCGTGTAGTGGTTAATCCATTTGCCGAATGTTCATTGCTCTGTGCTTGCGTTGTGTTTCTGTCGCTGGCTGGAGTGCTCACACACATATTTGAGCTGGTTTGCCGTGCTGGGCGATCATTGAAATGAAGCGAAGAATGGTGTTTCCGTCCGCAATGTTTACAACTAAATTTCGAAGTGCAGTTGCTTACCAAGTGATTTGCAAGGCAGTTGTAGCATAATTTGTCCCTCTTCACTATGTCAAGTCTCTTTTTTGGATCGGTGATTGTTGTGCAATCACTGGGGTTATGTAAACCTTTGCAAAATAAGCATTGTCTCACTGCATGTCGTTGTTTACGATACCCAGAAGTAGGCGCGTGAAAAGCGGTTATTGAGAGTCGTGACATTTGACCCCCAAGAGTCTGACCTTCATTGTTGACATCTGTCAGGCCCGCCTGTAAAGCATGTATTTCGACAGTAATAGCTTTTCTCAGGTCGACAATATTCCAGGCTTTGTTGCCATGGATTCTAGCAATTTGTGTGCAAATGTTATTAGGCAACTTACGTAGTATCATGGAACTATATAGTTCCATGGTAGTATCATGGGAACTAGTAGCTCGCCGTACGTGGATTCATCTTTTCCCAGGGCTTGCAGTCCGCGAATATGGGACTCGAGCGTGTCATTGAAGCGTAGTAAACTCGTAACATCGTCAATGGGCGACTGCAGCTGCCAAAGAGCTTCCATGTGAGCGGAAATAATCATATGTTTCTGTCCGTAACGTTCGTTGAGAAGTGCGAGCGCTTGGGCGTAATTCACTTCTGTGAGCGGTAAACTTGAAATCAAGAGTAGGGCTTCTCCTCGTAATACCCCCTTGAGATATGCGAATCGTTGAATGTCTCCGAGTGTTTTATCATCGTGAATTGTAGACCTGTACGTGTCATAGAATGTGATCCATTCCAATACATTGCCCGAAAATGTTGGTAATTCAATTTTCGGCAAATTCACAGTTCTGTGCGTACTAGCTGATGGGTTGCTGCGTGGAGTTGAACCGGCGCTGGAGCCTGTGTTCGGTGCTTGTCTGCGTGGGTCAATGGCGTCGATGCGTCGCTGCCTTCTACGTGATTTCATGGATAGTTCATCAGTATAATCGTAGCTTTCCTCCATTTCCTTTTCGATAGTTGACTCTTCTTCACCCTCGTGATGCATAGCGAGACGTAAGTCCTCGTCGACGGTTTGCAGTTTGGCGCGTCGTTCGTTGATAAGTTCATTCAGATCGGCGATCTCGTTGAAAGCTAACACCTTGTCGTGATTGTTGTCAAAATCAGAGAGTAGGATTTCCAATCGATTAGTGTTCCTTGTAACCAAACCACGTTGTACCTTCCTTGCCGAGCGAAGCGAAGCTACATTTTCGGTTTTGGTTGTAGATTGTGATTGGGCTGAAGTGTTTGAAACAGACATCATTTTGCAATACTATAAGGGGTGGTACACCCCTTATAGTACGCGATAGCTGTCACAAAATCCGCAATATATCCTGGTCTTCTCGGTACCAAAATGTGGGGCGCGATACGTTGCGGATATGGAAATGTAACGAAATATAGTATGCAAAATTATCTGCTACACAATCAGCACCAATCACCACAGAAGAACGACTTAATGAAAACTCAGAATTTATTCACTAACGGAAAACCCGCTGGAAATCCGGAGACTTACAACTCGATATCAACGATATAACACAAATTGTAAGAATGATACAGAATTGGCAGTATGCCCTTGATATACATCGATAAACTCTTGACCGTGTAAGAAAATTAGTGGGAAAACTTCTAATTGGATGAATATAAAAATTGAAACAAAAGAACACACTGCGGTGGTTTCTACCACGTTCGCATTCATGTCGTCGTTTCACTTCAGAATCCGTATTTTGCAACAATGTATAAGTCAGAATACAGTATTATTGAACTTGTATAAAACGAAATGAATAAAGCGATTAACAAATATTGCATGTTTCAATTACAATGCTTCACAGATAAATGATTCAGAAATTACTCCGACATACTTGCCGCCCACGATGTAATGAGTCAAATTGATACATCATCTATGATTAGAAATTATTGTCCCATATAAAAGTTATCAAAAGTTGTAATGTTCATAACACATATACAAAATACACAGTCTGGCTCAGAATGTGATTACAACAGACTTTTGGCAAAATCCTTGATCTTGTCACGTGCTGCTACGACAGCCTTCCTCAGGTTGGATGCATCAATTTTCCCAGACCCATATGCATACAAGTTGTGTCATAGTCAGAGATCAATGGACTCTGTTGTTGTGTTAGGGCGTCATCAGTATGTGGGTAGGGAATGCTATGGTCACACAGTGTCTGCTTGTCTGATCTAGTTAATGGTTTGTTTACATTGTTAATGGATGTAGTGGTATTTGTATCAAAGTCAGGTATGTTGTTGTTAACTGCTCCATCAATGTCAGAAATAGGTAGAAGTGTGTTTTCAGTATTTGTAACATTAGAATGCATGTTGTATGTGATTTGTGGCCAATCTGCAGTATTTGCCAGGAAATCAGGACCATTCCACCACTTTCTGCTGGACTTCAGCTCTTTCGTTGATATTCCTCTAGTCAGTAGGTCAGCCGGGTTCTGCTTTGTAGGCACGTATCTGTAACTTTGGTTAAACTCATTTATCTCCTTGGTTCTGTTTCGGATGAAAACAGGTTGTGGTTTGTCACTTGCGATCCATGACAGAGCTATCTGACTGTCACTCCATAATGTACACGAATCAATGTTCAGTTTTGGCTTCAAATGATTGTAAACAAATTTGCATAGTCTTGTACCAATCAAGCATGCTAAAAGTTCAAGTCGAGGCAAGGTGATCTCTGTGGTGGGTGATACACGGTTCTTAGAAGCAACTATACCAGTTTCTCCAGTTTCCATACATCGAATATATATCACAGCTCCATATGCAGATGTACTGGCATCAGCAAATGAGTGTAGTTGATAGGTTTGCTTGTTTACATCCATGGAGTTTCCACCAAAATAACTTCTATTTATAGTAATGTCAGTCAGGTGATGCAGTTCACTAGCAATACCTTTCCACTTAGTAAGGTAAGTATCATCAAGAGGTGTATCCCATTCAATTTTGGATCGCCAAATAGATTGAATAAACAATTTTGCCTGAATGTGAACTGGTGACAGCAAACCAATGGGGTCATAAATGCTGGCTGTGGCACTTACAACATCTCTCTTCGTAAGTAATTGATTCAAAGGTGGCATATCTACGTGTTTATATGAAAGTACATCAGTCTCAGTATTCCATCTCATACCAAGTATTCCCACTTCTACATCTTCAGAATGTTTGTTGTCGCTCGTGGCAATCTCTCTTAGTGTGTTGTCATTGGTTGACCAACTTCTCAAATTGAAACCACCTGACGTCATCATTTCATTTGCATGTGTATAGTAATCAATAGCCTCATTGGTGTTGTTAACACCAGAAATGACATCGTCAACATAAATATTGTTTTGTAAATCCCTGGCAATGGCCGAAGTGTTGTAAGTATCCAAATGAGCTCTTACAACAGCATTAAGAATAAAGGGGGAGGGTGTCGCCCCAAAAAGAACAGATTTAAACTGATATGTATCGAACTCACTCTCTGTATCGCCTGAATCTGAGAGCCACAAAAACTTGGTGAATTTCCTCTCCTCAGGTTCTAGTTTCACCTGTAGGAAAGCTTTTTCTATGTCGCTAGTGATAGCAACAGGGTTCGAACGAAATTTAATCAATATGGATGTCAAGTCATTCAACATGGGAGGGCCTTTATCCAGGCAGTCGTTTAGACTGGGTGATTTAGCTGACTTTCTACAACTACAATCATACACAATGCGAATTGGTGTGGTGGAGCTCTGTTTAGCCACTGGATGGTGTGGTAGGAAGTGACCTTCACCTTTGTCACAGGTAGGTAGTTTCTCAATAAAGTCATTTGATTCTTGCTCACGAATTAGTCTATCATACACAGGAAGTATGTCACTAGGTAGGCGTTGTACCATGTTGCGTGTGCGGTTCAGAGTGACCTCATAGTTGACAGGTAGTTCATCATGTTCTTGTTTCCATGGCAACTTAGCTACATAATGACCACCATCACGTCGTAAGTGTGTGGTTTTGTATGTTTCATAGTCAATGTGTTTGTCAACATTGTTTTGTTTACATTCGTCAGCTGATATGTCAATAGTTTCCAGGTCCCAATATGAGGCTATAGCTTTCTCCTCATACTGAGTATCTGTGATTACATGCAAAACTTGAGCATTTGAGTTAGGTTGGCCATTATTTTTAGGCCCAGACAAAATATACCCAAAAATAGAATTCACAGCAACTGGTCCAGATCCTCGAATGACACGGTCTCCGACCATCTCCCAAAAATAATCTAAGCCAATTAGAATATCTATATCAAATGACTGATCGATTGATACAGGGTGAGCCAAGTTTAGATGACGTAAATATGGCAAATCAAGTAAGTCAGGTGTCACATGGTGAGTCAGATTGTTAGATATGTCAGGTATAACAAGAGGTTCTATAGATACAATGTCACCAGTCAGGGTATGCATATGGATCTCACCTTTAAATAGTGTTCTTGAGTACTTGTCCTGATGACCCAATGTTGACAGGTTGACAGTCTCTCGATGGGTGGGCTTCATGCTGATTTTCTCTGCAAATCTGGTAGTAACGAATGACCTTGTAGCCCCTTCATCAAATAATACATTGGCATGAATAATGTTCCCATCTTTGGCAGTAACAGGAACCACGGCTGTCTTTAATAGGACAGGTCCGGTAGGTTGGCGAAATTGTGAAGTTGAAAGATGAACGCGTGTGTCATTTGCGCGTGTAGTGGTTAATCCATTTGCCGAATGTTCATTGCTCTGTGCTTGCGTTGTGTTTCTGTCGCTGGCTGGAGTGCTCACACACATATTTGAGCTGGTTTGCCATGCTGGGCGATCATTGAAATGAAGCGAAGAATGGTGTTTCCGTCCGCAATGTTTACAACTAAATTTCGAAGTGCAGTTGCTTACCAAGTGATTTGCAAGGCAGTTGTAGCATAATTTGTCCCTCTTCACTATGTCAAGTCTCTTTTTTGGATCGGTGATTGTTGTGCAATCGCTGGGGTTATGTAAACCTTTGCAAAATAAGCATTGTCTCACTGCATGTCGTTGTTTACGATACCCAGAAGTAGGCGCGTGAAAAGCGGTTATTGAGAGTCGTGACATTTGACCCCCAAGAGTCTGACCTTCATTGTTGACATTTGTCAGGCCCGCCTGTAAAGCATGTATTTCAGCAGTAATAGCTTTTCTCAGGTCGACAATATTCCAGGCTTTGTTGCCGTGGATTCTAGCAATTTGTGTGCAAATGTTATTAGGCAACTTACGTAGTATCATGGGAACTAGTAGCTCGCCGTACGTGGATTCATCTTTTCCCAGGGCTTGCAGTCCGCGGATATGGGACTCGAGCGTGTCATTGAAGCGTAGTAAACTCGTAACATCGTCAGTGGGCGACTGCAGCTGCCATAGAGCTTCCATGTGAGCGGAAATAATCATATGTTTCTGTCCGTAACGTTCGTTGAGAAGTGCGAGCGCTTGGGCGTAATTCACTTCTGTGAGCGGTAAACTTGAAATCAAGAGTAGGGCTTCTCCTCGTAATACCCCCTTGAGATATGCGAATCGTTGAATGTCTCTGAGTGTTTTATCATCGTGAATTGTAGACCTGTACGTGTCATAGAATGTGATCCATTCCAATACATTGCCCGAAAATGTTGGTAATTCAATTTTCGGCAAATTCACAGTTCTGTGCGTACTAGCTGATGGGTTGCTGCGTGGAGTTGAACCGGCGCTGGAGCCTGTGTTCGGTGCTTGTCTGCATGGGTCAATGGCGTCGATGCGTCGCTGCCTTCTACGTGATTTCATGGATAGTTCATCAGTATAATCGTAGCTTTCCTCCATTTCTTTTTCGATAGTTGACTCTTCTTCACCCTCGTGATGCATAGCGAGACGTAAGTCCTCGTCGACGGCTTGCAGTTTGGCGCGTCGTTCGTTGATAAGTTCATTCAGATCGGCGATCTCGTTGAAAGCTAACACCTTGTCGTGGTTGTTGTCAAAATCAGAGAGTAGGATTTCCAATCGATTAGTGTTCCTTGTAACCAAACCACGTTGTACCTTCCTTGCCGAGCGAAGCGAAGCTACATTTTCGGTTTTGGTTGTAGATTGTGATTGGGCTGAAGTGTTTGAAACAGACGTCATTTTGCAATACTATAAGGGGTGTACCGTACGCGATAGCTGTCACAAAATCCGCAATATATCCTGGTCTTCTCGGCACCAAAATGTGGGGGACGATACGTTGCGGATATGGAAATGTAACGAAATATAGTATGCAAAATTATCTGCTACACAATCAGCACCAATCACCACAGAAGAACGACTTAATGAAAACTCAGAATTTATTCACTAACGGAAAACCCGCTGGAAATCCGGAGACTTACAACTCGATATCAACGATATAACACAAATTGTAAGAATGATACAGAATTGGCAGTATGCCCTTGATATACATCGATAAACTCTTGACCGTGTAAGAAAATTAGTGGGAAAACTTCTAATTGGATGAATATAAAAATTGAAACAAAAGAACACACTGCGGTGGTTTCTACCACGTTCGCATTCATGTCGTCGTCTCACTTCAGAATCCGTATTTTGCAACAATGTATAAGCCAGAATACAGTATTATTGAACTTGTATAAAACGAAATGAATAAAGCGATTAACAAATATTGCATGTTTCAATTACAATGCTTCACAGATAAATGATTCAGAAATTACTCCGACATACTGGCCGCCCACGATGTAATGAGTCAAATTGATACATCATCTATGATTAGAAATTATTGTCTCATATAAAAGTTATCAAAAGTTGTAATGTTCATAACACATATACAAAATACACAGTCTGGCTCAGAATGTGATTACAACAGACTTTTGGCAAAATCCTTGATCTTGTCACGTGCTGCTACGACAGCCTTCCTCAGGTTGGATGCATCAATTTTCCCAGACCCATATGCATACAAGTTGTGTCATAGTCAGAGGTCAATGGACTCTGTTTGTCTGATCTAGTTAATGGTTTGTTTACATTGTTAATGGATGTAGTGGTATTTGTATCAAAGTCAAGTATGTTGTTGTTAACTGCTCCATCAATGTCAGAAACAGGTAGAAGTGTGTTTTCAGTATTTGTAACATTAGAATGCATGTTGTATGTGATTTGTGGCCAATCTGCAGTATTTGCCAGAAACTCAGGACCATTCCACCACTTTCTGCTGTACTTCAGCTCTTTCGTTGATATTCCTCTAGTCAGTAGGTCAGCCGGGTTCTGCTTTGTAGGCACGTATCTGTAACTTTGATTAAACTCATTTATCTCCTTGGTTCTGTTTCGGATGAAAACAGGTTGTGGTTTGTCACTTGCGATCCATGACAGAGCTATCTGACTGTCACTCCATAATGTACACGAATCAATGTTCAGTTTTGGCTTCAAATGATTATAAACAAATTTGCATAGTCTTGTACCAATCAAGCATGCTAAAAGTTCAAGTCGAGGCAAGGTGATCTCTGTGGTGGGTGATACACGGTTCTTAGAAGCAACTATACCAGTTTCTCTAGTTTCCATACCTCGAATATATATCACAGCTCCATATGCAGATGTACTGGCATCAGCAAATGAGTGTAGTTGATAGGTTTGCTTGTTTACATCCATGGAGTTTCCACCAAAATAACTTCTATTTATAGTAATGTCAGTCAGGTGATGCAGTTCACTAGCAATACCTTTCCACTTAGTAAGGTAAGTATATCAAGAGGTGTATCCCATTCAATATTGGATCGCCAAATAGATTGAATAAACAATTTTGCCTGAATGTGAACTGGTGACAGCAAACCAATGGGGTCATAAATGCTGGCTGTGGCACTTACAACATCTCTCTTCATAAGTAATTGATTCAAAGGTGGCATATCTACGTGTTTATATGAAAGTACATCAGTCTCAGTATTCCATCTCATACCAAGTATTCCCACTTCTACATCTTCAGTATGTTTGTTGTCGCTGGTGGCAATCTCTCTTAGTGTGTTGTCATTGGTTGACCAACTTCTCAAATTGAAACCACCTGACGTCATCATTTCATTTGCATGTGTATAGTAATCAATAGCCTCATTGGTGTTGTTAACACCAGAAATGACATCGTCAACATAAATATTGTTTTGTAAATCCCTGGCAATGGCCGAAGTGTTGTAAGTATCCAAATGAGCTCTTACAACAGCATTAAGAATAAAGGGGGAGGGTGTCGCCCCAAAAAGAACAGATTTAAACTGATATGTATCGAACTCACTCTCTGTATCGCCTGAATCTGAGAGCCACACAAACTTGGTGAATTTCCTCTCCTCAGGTTCTAGTTTCACCTGTAGGAAGGCTTTTTCTATGTCGCTAGTGATAGCAACAGGGTTCGAACGAAATTTAATCAATATGGATGTCAAGTCATTCAACATGGGAGGGCCTTTATCCAGGCAGTCGTTTAGACTGGGTGATTTAGCTGACTTTCTACAACTACAATCATACACAATGCGAATTGGTGTGGTGGAGCTCTGTTTAGCTACTGGATGGTGTGGTAGGAAGTGACCTTCACCTTTGTCACAGGTAGGTAGTTTCTCAATAAAGTCATTTTATTCTTGCTCACGAATTAGTCTATCATACACAGGAAGTATGTCACTAGGTAGGCGTCGTACCATGTTGCGTGTGCGGTTCAGAGTGACCTCATAGTTGACAGGTAGTTCATCATGTTCTTGTTTCCATGGCAACTTAGCTACATAATGACCACCATCACGTCGTAAGTGTGTGGTTTTGTATGTTTCATAGTCAATGTGTTTGTCAACATTGTTTTGTTTACATTCGTCAGCTGATATGCCAATAGTTTCCAGGTCCCAATATGAGGCTATAGCTTTCTCCTCATACTGAGTATCTGTGATTACATGCAAAACTTGAGCATTTGAGTTAGGTTGGCCATTATTTTTAGGCCCAGACAAAATATACCCAAAAATAGAATTCACAGCAACTGGTCCAGATCCTCGAATGACACGGTCTCCGACCATCTCCCAAAAATAATCTAAGCCAATTAGAATATCTATATCAAATGACTGATCGATTGATACAGGGTGAGCCAAGTTTAGATGACGTAAATATGGCAAATCAAGTAAGTCAGGTGTCACATGGTGAGTCAGATTGTTAGATATGTCAGGTATAACAAGAGGTTCTATAGATACAATGTCACCAGTCAGGGTATGCATATGGATCTCACCTTTAAATAGTGTTCTTGAGTACTTGTCCTGATGACCCAATGTTGATAGGTTGACAGTCTCTCGATGGGTGGTGGGCTTCATGCTGATTTTCTCTGCAAATCTGGTAGTAGCGAATGACCTTGTAGCCCCTTCATCAAATAATACATTGGCATAAATAATGTTCCCATATTTGGCAGTAACAGGAACCACGGCTGTCTTTAATAGGACAGGTCCGGTAGGTTGGCGAAATTGTGAAGTTGAAAGATGAACGCGTGTGTCATTTGCGCGTGTAGTGGTTAATCCATTTGCCGAATGTTCATTGCTCTGTGCTTGCGTTGTGTTTCTGTCGCTGGCTGGAGTGCTCACACACATATTTGAGCTGGTTTGCCGTGCTGGGCGATCATTGAAATGCAGCGAAGAATGGTGTTTCCGTTCGCAATGTTTACAACTAAATTTCGAAGTGCAGTTGCTTACCAAGTGATTTGCAAGGCAGTTGTAGCATAATTTGTCCCTCTTCACTATGTCAAGTCTCTTTTTTGGATCGGTGATTGTTGTGCAATCGCTGGGGTTATGTAAACCTTTGCAAAATAAGCATTGTCTCACTGCATGTCGTTGTTTACGATACCCAGAAGTAGGCGCGTGAAAAGCGGTTATTGAGAGTCGTGACATTTGACCCCCAAGAGTCTGACCTTCATTGTTGACATTTGTCAGGCCCGCCTGTAAAGCATGTATTTCGGCAGTAATAGCTTTTCTCAGGTCGACAATATTCCAGGCTTTGTTGCCGAGGATTCTAGCAATTTGTGTGCAAATGTTATTAGGCAACTTACGTAGTATCATGGGAACTAGTAGCTCGCCGTACGTGGATTCATCTTTTCCCAGGGCTTGCAGTCCGCGGATATGGGACTCGAGCGTGTCATTAAAGCGTAGTAAACTCGTAACATCGTCGGTGGGCGACTGCAGCTGCCATAGAGCTTCCATGTGAGCGGAAATAATCATATGTTTCTGTCCGTAACGTTCGTTGAGAAGTGCGAGCGCTTGGGCGTAATTCACTTCTGTGAGCGGTAAACTTGAAATCAAGAGTAGGGCTTCTCCTCGTAATACCCCCTTGAGATATGCGAATCGTTGAATGTCTCCGAGTGTTTTATCATCGTGAATTGTAGACCTGTACGTGTCATAGAATGTGATCCATTCCAATACATTGCCCGAAAATGTTGGTAATTCAATTTTCGGCAAATTCACAGTTCTGTGCGTACTAGCTGATGGGTTGCTGCGTGGAGTTGAACCGGCGCTGGAGCCTGTGTTCGGTGCTTGTCTGCGTGGGTCAATGGCGTCGATGCGTCGCTGCCTTCTACGTGATTTCATGGATAGTTCATCAGTATAATCGTAGCTTTCCTCCATTTCTTTTTCGATAGTTGACTCTTCTTCACCCTCGTGATGCATAGCGAGACGTAAGTCCTCGTCGACGGCTTGCAGTTTGGCGCGTCGTTCGTTGATAAGTTCATTCAGATCGGCGATCTCGTTGAAAGCTAACACCTTGTCGTGGTTGTTGTCAAAATCAGAGAGTAGGATTTCCAATCGATTAGTGTTCCTTGTAACCAAACCACGTTGTACCTTCCTTGCCGAGCGAAGCGAAGCTACATTTTCGGTTTTGGTTGTAGATTGTGATTGGGCTGAAGTGTTTGAAACAGACGTCATTTTGCAATACTATAAGGGGTGTACCGTACGCGATAGCTGTCACAAAATCCGCAATATATCCTGGTCTTCTCGGCACCAAAATGTGGGGGACGATACGTTGCGGATATGGAAATGTAACGAAATATAGTATGCAAAATTATCTGCTACACAATCAGCACCAATCACCACAGAAGAACGACTTAATGAAAACTCAGAATTTATTCACTAACGGAAAACCCGCTGGCAATCCGGAGACTTACAACTCGATATCAACGATATAACACAAATTGTAAGAATGATACAGAACTGGCAGTATGCCCTTGATATACGTCGATAAACTCTTGACCGTGTAAGAAAATTAGTGGGAAAACTTCTAATTGGATGAATATAAAAATTGAAACAAAAGAACACACTGCGGTGGTTTCTACCACGTTCGCATTCATGTCGTCGTCTCACTTCAGAATCCGTATTTTGCAACAATGTATGTCAGAATACAGTATTATTGAACTTGTATAAAACGAAATGAATAAAGCGATTAACAAATATTGCATGTTTCAATTACAATGCTTCACAGATAAATGATTCAGAAATTACTCCGACAAAGTTTCAAAGTACAGCAAATAAGCGAGCGAGTACGAAAGCCGAGAAGGGACCTCCCACTTCGTACTTCCCATTTCTCACTTCTTACTTCTCACTTCCCATTTCTCACTTCTCATTTCTCACTTCTTACTTCTTACTTCTCATTTTCTGACTTCCCAATTCTTACTTCTCATTTCCCACTTCGTACTTCTCATTTCTCAGTTCTTACTTTCTCATTTCTCACTTCTTATTTCTTATTTCCACGTATCTGCCCACTTTCCGTTCCACGTGACTAAGTTGAAAGGTCATACAGTATGCGAACGCGCAATTTTTGATGAACATGGCGACAAATGAACAGACGACGCAGCTGCGAAAGGTATGTATTTAGCACCTTTTACGCATATTTTCCCAGTGTGAATATGTGTAGTTGACACGCTAGTATAGACTACGTCGTGTAAAGTTGGACAAACATGACCAGAGTTGCAAAAATCGCGCATCTTACGTGTTACCACAATCGCTACACTGAAGGTTGAATAGATATGTGGACGGGTCATGTGACTTTACGTAGAAGTTCGTGCACGAAAGTTTCTCTATGGGAAATATTATCCAATTTATTAGCATGTCAGTCCTTTGTCCCGAAGACACATCGGTGTGTAATGTCAATCGTGTAGAAATCATCTGTACTTGTCATTCTGACTAGTGCCATTTGTTATTGAGGCTCATTTTATTATTTTGTGTTATTTTGTGTTGTTTTGTGTTGTTCACTTGGAACATCAATGCAATTTTTGTTACTGTACTTGTCAAACGAGCATTAATACAGGCCACCCTGGAAAATGTGCTCATCTATAATTAGAGTGGTAAACATACTTTCCCTGTTTTGGTGTGGCGCCAGTGTATTTAAATTATCTGGACTGGTTTTCTAGTAATTATCATAGACTAATTGTTTTTTTCTTTTTTTCTTAATTATTTTGTTTATAAATGGTGCCTCCTGAGTCTAAGGACATGTGTCTCTCTTCATGTGTTCTTTCTACTCATTATCCTACACTTAGGGACGAAAAGGGGAATTTTCGTAATAACTTGTTTTAACGTTCGTAATGATGTACTTTAAATAAATAAATAATTAACATATTCCATAGGCATGGGCAAGGTATAACATGGAATCAGCTATTTTATTCCCCTGTATTTCGTACAAAGATACTTTTAGTTGTAAGCATATATTTTCCACATTAATTGTCAGTATTCATACAATATCTTCGATACTGGACTCACATGTGAATGGTCGAAAATAATAAAAAATTGTAACATGTAATTAAAAATTTGCTTTATATATAAACTCTAAAAACTGTTATTTTTAACGTAAAATGGAACTTTTATTTCCTATAAAAATGAAAACACCGTTTTTATTTCCTGTAACCTGACCAGCAAACAACTCCCCCCCCCGCCCCCATTTTACACTGCCTGGAACGAAAACAATTTCTTCACACTTCACACTTCAATGCATACTCATGTGTTGTTTTGCAGCTGTGTGTGAAATCTTTACACAGAAAGA